GAGGTGGGTCTCTTGTAGGCAGCATATGTGTGGGTCATGCTTTCTTATCCATTCAGCTGTTGTGTCTTTTGATTGGAGCATTTTATCCATGTAATTTAAGGTTATTATTGATAGATACTAATGCAATGCCATTTTACTTCCTTCATACCTGTGTTCCCTCTCTCTCTCTCTCTCTCTCTCTCTCTCTCTCTCTCTCTCTCTCTCTCTCTCTCTCTCTCTCTCTCTCTCTCTCTCTTCCTTTTCCTTAAAGCAGGCCCTTTAGCATCTCTCCCAGTGCTGGTCTGCTGGAGGTGCATTCTTTGAGCCTTCTTTTGTCTGGGAAACTCCTTATTTCACCTGCCATTTTAACTGAGAGCCTTGCTGTATAGAATAGTCTTGATTGCAGGCCATTGTTTTTCATTACTTGGAGTATTTCTGGCCGTCCACTTCTGGCTTGTAGCATTTCCACTGAGAAGTCAGCTGCTAGACTTATTGGGGCTCCCTTGTGTGTTACTTCCTATTTCTCCCTTGCTGCCTTTAAGATTCTCCCTTTCTCTTGGAATTTTCCCATTTTTCATTATGATGTGTCTTGGAGTGGGCCTCTTTGGGTTCTTCTTGATTGGGACCCTCTCTGCTCTCTGGATTTGTGTGATTTTTTTTTCTCTCATCACATTAGGGACATTTCCCATCATTACTTGTTCAAACAGGTTTTCTGTCCTTTGCTCTTCTTCTCCTTCTGGTATCTCTAATATATGAATATTATTATGTTTCACGTTATCCTGCCGTTCCCTTAACACCTCTTCATTGTCTCTGAGTCTGTTTTCCTTTTCCCGGTCTTTCTGGGATTTTTTCCCTACCTTGTCCTCCAGCTTGCTGATTTGATCCTCTGCTTCACCTAGCCTGCTTTGGATTCCTTCTACTGTGTTCTTCAGTTCAAAAACTATATTCTTCATTTCCTCTTGGCTCTTGTTGATAGTTTCTATTTCCTTTGTCGTGTTGATATAGTTTGCAGTGAGTTCATTGTAGTTTTCCTGTAGTTTTTGGTAATTCTCAGTGAGCTCTTTGAGCTTCCTTATAACCATTTCTTTGAATCAATACCCAATAGTTGACTTGCCTCTGTTTCATTTAGCATTCTTTCTGAGGCTTCCTCTTATCCTTTTGTTTTGAGTTTGTTTCTTTGTCTTCCCATTGTTTGTGAAACTCTTTTTGTTAGCCTCTGCTTCTTAAATTGATCTATTCTGAGTCCCTGCATTCATGCTGTGAACTTCTATGGTAGGAGACCTGTGAGAGTCAGTGGTGCAGTCTCCTTGATCTCCTGAACTTGCTGCTCTTGGGATGTCATTTATGTTGGCCATCTATATGTCTTTGTGTTTTGGTTGTTGTTGGGTCTTTGCTTGGTGGGTCTTTCCCTCCAGCTGGTTGACTGAGGGTCACTCTGCCCACCACGTCTTGTATGCTCTTGTGCAGGTGCGGACAGGTGGTGTTGAAGCTTGTTCTTCTGTCTGAGGTTATGAGGCTTCTCTCTCCCTGTCGTTCAGCTGTTTGTTCTGGATAATTTCTCCACCGTTTAGTTGTATTTCCACATTGAAGCTGGGTGGAGGTTAGTTTGGCTTTCACTTACTCCTCTGCCATCTTCCTTTATTATCTGTTCATGGTTCCTTTGTTGGGTTCTCTCTTCCAGCAGGTATATTGTTGTTCACAGCTCCCATCTTCTCTCTTATGTGATCAGTTGGAGGGGAAGGCAGAATGGATTAAGACAGTGGGAATGTATTCTATGGGATTTAAAGTACCAACAGATAGAGAAACGATAGATAAGTATAAGTTGGACAAGAGCCAACAAGGTCCTTTAGATGAGTATAGTGTTAACTGTGATATTTCGCCAGCTAGCCACTTTTTAGAAAGGGTGGAAGAGGGATAAGACTCTTGTTAGAGTGGAGGAGGATTGTGAGTTGAATCCAGAAAACAGAGAGCTTGTGAGAAGTCAGATTACGAGGTATGGTTAGAGTAAAGGATAGAAAAGAGGCGTAGTGTGCAAGAGAATAGAGTTAACCACAACAGTCATAAAACTCCAGAAGACAGTGAAATGGGCTAAGATCAGGGGTGGGTGGGTGCTGTGTAGTATTTACAATTATATGGAACAACAATTATTTACAATAATAGTGGAACAATAATCATATGGCAGGAACTATATGATCTGAATAACAAGAATAGGAACTATACAGCCTAGAGTCGTGTGCTATCAGACCACAAGTGAAGTGAAAGAAGAAAAATTAAAAGACACTATGAAAGTGAGAACAAGGAAAATCTGTCAAACAATGCAATTAAACAAACAGATAAAATGAAGAAAACTAAAGAGAAATAGAAATGAAAAAATAGTAATGAAATAAAAGAAGTAAAAATAATGAAAAATAATAATAATACAAATAAACAATATCATGCAACTTCTCTGGAATAGGAAAGTGAAATTTGTCTCAGTTTCTCCGTTGTTGAGATTAGCCTTCTGTTCCCTCTTTGGGTCTGTCTCTGGTCCTTTCACAGCTCCAGGTCTTATTGTCTCACTTGGGGGAAAAAACGGGAAAAAAAAAGAATAAAAACTTTTTTAAAAGAATTAAAAACCAAAAAGCTCTTGCTGACTTTAAACCAGCCAAGCAAGTTCTGCTTGTCTTCCTGGATGCTGCAGGCTGAAGAGGGCTGGGCTTTGCTTGTCTCCTTTTCTGTGGTTTTGAAAGGATGGGGCCCAGGTCTGGGCCACAATCTTCACAGTTGCCCAGCCTCCAGCCCAGGTCTTCCGTTTGCTGCCATCTGTGCCAGGCCGGCGCCTTCAATCCACCAGTTGTGCCGTCTTTGAGGTGCACTAATTAGGGGAAACTCACCCACCACCTTCTTGCTCTTTGCTGTCCTAGGAGCTAGGCACACTCAAAGCCTCTTCAGGGTAGTTCAGCTCCCCCACTGGGTTGTCTTTCTGGGGACTGCTAACTCCCTGAGCCCTGCTGCTCTCCTCTGCAGGGGATACCTCCTCCTTCCTCTTAGCGAGCCAGCTGGGCTGCGTGGGGACAGGGGTGCTGCGGTGGCTGTGGTGTGGGTGGGGTGTGGCTGCTGCATTGGTGGAGGCAGAGGTGTGGCTGAGGCTGTGGTGGGGCAGGGGGGCAGGGGTGGTGACAAGGCTGCAGTTGTGCCTGTGGTGGTGGCCGCTGCCGGAGAGTCACCTAAACAGTGACCAAGAGCCTTTTTTTTTTTTTTTTTAACAAAATCCTCCTGTTGACGTCTGCCGCTCCTAACAAGCGCTTGGCCTCTCACATAGCTCAACTTTCCAACCAGACCAGAGACTATCCGAGTCAGGGTCCCTCACGGCCGAACTCTTCTCCTTTCTCCAGGCATCAACCGGGTCCTCAATTTCTCTGGTAATGACCCAGCTGCTGTCCACAGTCTCAGCGGGTGTACACTCCCCCTGTCCATCTCCCACTTTGTCTTTATTCCCCCCAGCAACTTCAAGCATCCAGGTCCATCCTGGTGCTGCTCTATCCTCCCTTTTTGGCAGGGGAGGGAGCTGCTGATTTGGCTCTGGTCTAAGGATCCTGTGGCATGCCCCGGCAGGTGCCGGGCTGGGGGCTGCAGCAGCCCTTGTCCCCATGCTGGTCCCAGGGACCTTACTGTCCCAATGCAACCTCCTTACCATCTGTTTTTCAATGTCCTCCACAATTCTGGCTTCCAACCTTAGTATAAGCTGGGATTCTGTTGGCTGTTCACTCTGTTCCTCAGAAGATCGGCTAGGTGTTCCACCTATACGCAGGGGGAAGTTGCAATTCCAACTTTCAAGGAGACAAGCCTTGGCTCATCGAGAACTTCAGGAGAGAAGGCAACTGGGTGAGTACTGCTACTTGGCCAGGGACCAGCACAACACCTCCAAAGAGGAAGAAGAAGCAGGTATCCCCTATAGGACGCTCACCAAGAATTAACCATAGAGGAGGCTCCAAAGCAGCTGACCCAAAGACCCAGAAGAAAGCCCCAAGTGCTCAGGGACCCAGTAGCACCTGGTCATTCAAGTTCTCGGGTCTGTGGTCCACAAGCAGTGCCATGACAGTCCATTGCCCAAGTGAGCCAGGTGGCCCAAGTGGGGAGGGCACATCTGAGAATGTCACATTTGCGCCCACAGCTCCTGCCAGAACCAATGGCACAGGGGAACTGCCCACCAGCTACCCAGATTACCCACTGTATGATTCGGTGATGTCTTTGTACAACACCTGTTATTCCATCCTGATGGCTGCCCTTTCAGTCATGGCCTCACCCACAGACCCCGATGAGGAGGAGGAGGGCTCCTCTGATGACTGCCATGCACTCTGTGAGCAATTCAGGGACAATACAGGCCCCCAAGCTCCCAATGACAGAGAACAATCACCACTTTTGTAACCACCAATCCATTTTCAGCTTTAATAAAGAAAAGCACAACTCCATGGTAGTAAATTAACAATGAGAATTGTGAGTCTGTGTTCTCTTGTTTCCATGCTACACACACCTCATCAGATGAGCCCTAGGAGGCTAGCTATCCTGGCCCGACACAGGTGTTTGTCCCCATTGTCCTCATTCATTTTCACACACTCATCCAAGGGCCTGCTAGGGAGCTCTGAAGCAAGCTCAGGAAGATCGGGTCCCCTGAGCCTCACCTGCTGGCCAGGAGACAGAACTGCCTGACTCCTGACCTTGGGTGGATCACCTTCCAATAGTCATGTACCTTAAAACAGGAGGGTCTTTCCTCACGGGTCCCCCAGTGATGCCAGGAAGTTTCTGACCAGCAGCTGAGCATCTCCAGCCCAATTTCCAGGGACCTCCCAGAGAGACCCACCTAAAACGAGGGCCACCCTATCTGCTCAGCCGTCTGCAACCATGGCAGTCTGGCTCAGAAGACGGGCCATTCCAGTCAACCCCTGGGAGAAAGCCCATCATCCTCACAGCTAACAAGCAGTAGGAACTCTCCTAGAAGGAACCCAAATAAATAAAAGATTGCCCACAAAACACACAAACAATCAAAGAAACAAAATACTCATCATTTTTCCATCAGAGCTCTATTTCAGATCCTCTCTTTGGTCACAAAGTAGCTATGTGACATGTCTAACACATGGCTTCATGAGCCAAGGGACACTTTTACAACAGAGCAAGAGTCACTTGCCAGGGCAGACAGGTGCTGTGTTTCAAAGTCTGATGTCCCCTTCATGGTGCATGAGGCAGTCCCGCCCCTGGCTGGTCACCCTCGGGCAACCATTCAGGGCCCGCTCCCAGCCCTCCCACAACATCCCCTGGATGCTGCTGAAGCATTCTATGAGTTTGACCAGAACAAAGAGAGGAGAAAACATGTAAGGGAGTCCTGAACACTAACCTGTTCTCTTAAAACACGTTTCTTTGTACAACTCAGGCATGAGCAGGACCTAAATGAGTGACAACACCAAGATACTTAATGGAAGCTTTGCCTTTTTTTCTAAAGGTCAAAGTCCTTGAGACTGTCAATAAGTCCAGGGAGGCATCCCCTGAGGAAAGCCTGGTGCATCTGAATGCAGAAGGCTGTTTACGTGAACAGCAGGTGGTGGGTAGCGCTCTCCACTGTGGTGCCAATTCAGATTAAGCCTGATTTATGTGTCTGCGGCAGGATGGTGTGTTGATGGTCATGAGTCAGCTGGTTTCTCGGTAATCTTCCTGTGAGGAGTCCTCCTGCCCCATGGGGATTAAGTGCTCTGGGATGTCCACCTGGAAGATATCCTTTCCACCTCTCCGGGGTATGGGCTCCAGTAACCACCTGGGGTTTGAAAGTGCAGTCAGGTACTTCTGCTTCAGGTTGGTCAGTACAGCTTGATTTTCCAGTTCCACAAGCTCATCGGGGGCTAAGTTTTCCGGGCACTGCAAAGTTTCCCCAATGTCAACGAGCCCTGTGCACCAAGAGAGAAGCACAGAGATGTTTTTCCTTTCATAAACCAAGGCCTGCCTATGAGAGAAAATGGTTATTCAACGTTATAACCATTAGGGACTAAGCTGATATCGCCAAATGGACACAGAGTGAACTGGGTCCCTCTCACTGTGTGCACTTCCAATGTGTCCAACTACGTTCAGGGAATTCTGGGTGAGGCCGGGGCAGAGAGAGGAATGAAGAGGACAGGGCCTTGTCCTCAACAACTCCACCCAAGAATGGGCAGGTTCCAGCCAGACTGCTGAGGGCAGCACGTACAGGTCAGAAGGGCCCCGGCTGCTGTGCGGAACCCACAGACCATCAGCTCCCAAGCACTTCACCAGGCGAAAGGAGCTGATGTGGGACCTCAACCACTGAGGGGTGAAGGAATTTGCTCAGGTGCCCATGGAGAGTGGGGGTGAGGCAGGTGTGTGATGCCTGAGTCTGGAGGTCACCCGACCCTCTCTGTGTGCTGTACAGCCTCTCGTGGCCTGCCACACAAACACACACATGTGTATGCACACAAGCCCACATGTATACACACAGGCAATACCACATGCAGCCTTGGAATGGTCCCTGCCTCTCACACCACCAACAGGACCTGAGGCCCAGAGTGGACAAAAGGGTTCGCCCAAGGTCCTGGAAACTTGTCCCACGGACGCCCAGCCCAGGGCCCGCTGCTGCCCCTTTGAAGGTGTGCTGCTTAAAGAAACCACAGCCCCACACCAACAGGTTCAAAAGAAAACAAGCCCCAAAACTCCTGAGCAAGGTCCTCAGGAGTTCTGAGGTGTCTGAGCGGCGCTTGGGGTGTGGCCACTTGCCAGCTATCACTCCACGGCCATACTTCTCCCCTTCCCGAAGCAAGGACTGAATCTGAGCGGGGTTCCTCCCCAGCCTCTGCAGCAGCAGTTCCCTCCAGACGGCATCTTCCCAGTCCCTGTGAGCAATGTGGATGGCGATGGTACAGTGACGGTGGCTGCTCAGCAAAGGGACGCCAACGAGTCTCCAGAGTCTTGACCCCATTTAAGACAAAACCTGCATAAGGCTGCCGGAAGGAAAGGCAGCAGAACTTCATCTCCCCAGAGATCCGTGGGCCTCACGTGGCCTGCGGAAACACAGAGCACCAATGTCAATAAGCATCATGCACCAGCCCACCAAGCTCATGGCCTGTGGGCTGACCTGCACCCACTGTCCCCTGGAGACCCAGGAACCCCGCTGACAGGGATGGTGGGGGAGCAGAGAGTGTTGGCTCTTTCTTCCTATCACCAAGCAGTCAGCTGGCAGGCCCAAGGAAAGGGGCTGGCGATGAGGATGCCTCATCTATCAGATGGAATCTTTGGCGAACTCAAGGAAGAAGGTGGGGAGAGCTCCAGAAAGGAAGTCAGGACAGGGTGTGGTCAGTTCTACAAAGGAGGCCACTGAGGCCAAGGGAGCACAGAGTGGGGAAGGAGGGACCTTCGGCTTCACCCCGGGTGGGCGGGTTCTAGTCCTCTCCCAGCAATGACCACCCTGGGCTTTGCTTCTTCTCCCCATCCACCTCAACACTCTCAGCTCCTTGGCCTTGCCACCCCCAAGGCACTGCAGGTCCCCAAGCATGGTGGCCCCTCCCCCAGGGCTGTAGAGAGCATATCCTTGGGATCCAGCCTGAGCTGGGCCCTGGGGACACCATGTGACCTCAGATAATCCTGTCAGGTGTCTCCTCTGGACCCTTTTGGGTACCACCCTCCTCCATCCTCTTCCTACCCCACTGGTTTCCACTGTCAGCAGGCATCCTGGCCCTCACCCGAGCTTAGAGAAATGAACAACAGGAGCAGGAACAACTGGCACCAGTATGCATGCCCTGGTCCCGTGCTTGGCCCTGGAATGAGCATGATCCACGGATCCTAGAATTCAATCCTCAAATAACTGGGTAGGGGTAGCTCCACCGTCACCCTACTCTACAGTTAAGAAGGTGGCACCAAGGGATGAACAGATGACCCACAGTCATGGGGAACCTGACTGCATGAACCCCTGTCCTTGACTCCTTTCCTTGTACCTGGGGAAGGGGTCCTTCTTCCTCACTGGAGGATGAAGCTGTGTCGTGGGGGGAGCAGGGCCCTGGGCCACAGACTCAGCGGGGTCAGAGTACCTGCTGGACCCTCGGTCTCCAAGGGGTTGTGAGTACCTGGCACCTGCCTAACAGGACAGTCACAACTGGTGGCTGCCCATCATCACCATGGGGCTGAGCCTCAGCTCTGCCCTCCACCCATGGGCAGCCCCACTCTCGTCTGTCTCTCCCCTCCTGTCTTTAAAGGACATAAACCTCACCTCAGCTATTATGTCCCTGTGTTTATGAAAACACACCCACTCTCAAAGACAAGGCCTGGAGGACAAAGCTGCCTCCTGTTCACTCCTGTCCCAATCCACTGTCCCGCCAGTCCCTTTGCCCAGCTCCTCCGCCTTCCCTCCCTTTCTCTGGCTGGGCCGCCTTCCCTGTGTTCTGGACCCCACCCCTCTTGTGCACTCAAGGACCTTGTTCCTGAGACCTTATCCATTAAGAAAAGGGCTTGACAGAGGTAATCAGGTTAAAATGAGACCCTCATCCAATGACTGGTGTCTTCATCTGAAGGGGGAATTTACAGACAGACATGCACTCAGGAGAGTAATGCCTTGTGAAGATGAAGGTCAAGATCTACAAGGCAAGGGATGCCAAAGCTTGCCTGCAAACCATGAGAACCTTGGGGACTGGGATGGACAGATTCTCTCTCAGTCCCCAGAAGAGGCAAACTCGGTGGACACCTTGATCTCGGACTTCCAGCCTCTGGAACTGTGAGACAATACCTGTCTGTTGTTTAAGCCACTCGAGCCATGGCTCTTTGATGTGACCAGCCCAACAAATGACTACAGAGGCATAGGCTCTTCCTGCATATCTCCACAGGGCAGAGAACAGTTTTGCCATTGGCAACACTTCAAGCACATTCCTTCACCTCTGTACATTTTCTTCTAGCCTATTTTTTGCTGCCTGCATGGTATCCCCTTGTTGGCTGCCCCACGATTTACTGAGTTTCTCCTACTGATGAAGAAAGAGTCACAGACTGCTTTGCACTTCCTGCCACTCTAAAGGACACTACCACAAACACTCGTTGACTGAAGACTTGTTGGGAGGACACCTGGGTCACACACATGCACTTCTGAGATGCTGATACATGCCAGCAAATGGCCTTCCACCGAAGCTCACCCGTGTATGCTCTACCAACCATGGGCCTGGTGCCATTTCCTCACATGCTTGTCGGCCTTGAGCATCATCACTGTGCTTAACCTTTGCCCATCTGACGGGTGACAAAGGTTGCCCTAGTCATCGGGTTTGGATTATTTATGACGGAGGCCAGATGTTCCCCTGTGGCCTGGCCGCTTCTTTTTCTTCTGCTGAGATATATGCCTGGTTTCCACCATTGAGTCCCTTGGCCCTTTTCTCACCAACCCCACAAAATCACAACAAGGAGACCTGAACTGTGTGGGTGGCACCCCCAGGGAGAACTGAGGTAACAGTGAAGGCACGGAGGGGGCTGAGTGCCCTCCTGTCACACAATGCAGAGAACCTGCTTAGTGGCCTGAGGAAGAAACACTCTTCCACTTGTCTCTGCTTCTTCACCTGCATGAGGGCAAGAGGGATAATGAGAAAAGGTCATTAGGAACAAGACAGCAATGTTGGCTAATATACCAGAACAGTCTTCTACACAGCAGGGATTGGAAACCATCAGGACCGAGGGGGTTCCAACTAATGGGAAACACACATGACCCTGGCCTTTCACTCACAGTTTGTTTCTCCGAATCAGAGCAGTGGCTCTCTCCTCCCCTGCCTGGTCACGGACCACATGATGGCCCAGCTAGCCTGCACAGAAAATCATTTCATGTAGGCGGGTGGTGTCCTTACAGCCTAGCAGACGCTGTGTTCAAGAGGAGAAAACTCTCACCTTCCCTCACGTCACCACATGGGAAGAATCTGGGGACCCTGCAATCCCGTTTCCCTCAACATAATCCTGGGTAGGTCCCTCTGGGAGGGGTGTCATGGGCAACCAGCTGTGCCCCACACAGCCTAGGGCCTGGGTGCGGTGGCGACAGCCTAAGGGCCAAGCAGAAAGCGGGGAGGACAGACCTGTGCATGTGGACTACTAGTACACTGGCGTTTCTATGCGCAGAGGCCCATCGCCGCCCCCCCCACACACTTACAAGAATGAGGGACAAGCGAAGATAAGCAGAGGAGGAGACAAAAAAGTGTGGCCTTGGCTGCGGTGGGAGTGTTCCCAGCCGCACGCATGGGAGGAGAAACCCCAACCCTCAAGTACTGTCCTTTGGAGGGCCCAGCAGGCCGGCAGGTGCAGAGAGTGTCCTGGCTCCCTCCTGGCAGGTCTCCTGGCCCCACTGGCCATGCAAGTCGCATTGCTCTGGGCTGACCCAGCTGAGGCCACCAGGCCTGACAGTCCACCTCCCCGCCGCCCTGGGAGACTGCCAGCACCGAAACGACCTCCTCCCAGGCCCAGATGAGGAGAGGACCACGGGACGCAACACGGAGACACCACAGAGCAGCAGGCCCATATTGTGGATGCCCCTCAGTCTCCTGAAGACCTGTGAGAGGTGGCAGGCACTGGCGTTGGTTAACCACCCTGGGCTGGCAGATGCACAAACCCCTGTCCGCTGGGCTAGACATATACAAATACCTGAGCACCACCCCCCCTCCCCCCATCGCAGAGCAGGACGCACGCCCAGCCTCAGCACCAGGCCCTGACGCAGCAGCACGCAGGCCTGGACGCAGGAGCAGGCCGGAAGGCGCGACAGCAGGCCCCCACGCAGCAGTACGCACGCCTGGACGCAGAGAGCACAGCGCCAGCATGCAGACGAGCAGCCCAGCAGTGACTTAAACACGCACATAAGTACAAAGGCAAGCAGCCCACGGTTGCTAGGAGACATTGTTGGACTCACCGGACACTGAGACTCCCAAGATGACCAGGGCTGGACGGCCCCTGGAGACCCTGGCGAAAAAGGGAGGGGAAGGGCAAAATGCTGGGGGGTGGGAATGGGGAGAGGAAGGGGCAGGGCTAGGCAAATCGGGGGGAGGTGGCTCGGGAGAAGGCGGAGCTAGGGGAGGAGTAGCTGGGTGCGACGCTTGGAAAAGAGCCAGGGGGTGTAGCTGGGGGCAGAACTGTGAGAAAGCAGGGGGAGGGGCTGCAGGATGGGTTTGGTAGAGCTGTGAGCAAGAGCTGCGGAGGAGCTGGGGGGGGTGGGCGGAGCTGTGGAAAAGCTGGTGGACAGAGATCTGCCGAAGGGGGGCGGAGGAGGCCGAGGTGTGGGGGAAGCTGGGGAGGCGGAGCTCAGGGAGCAGTTTCTGGGGAGGGCTTGTGGGGAAGAGCTGGGGAAGAAGGAGCTTCGGGGGTGAAGGAGGATCCAGGGAAAGCTGGGTAGGGGACAAAGCTGGGAGGAGAGTATCTGTGGGCGGACCGGTGGAAAACAGCTGGGGGAGTAGGCGGAACTGGTGGGGTGACAAATGCGAGGCTGACCTGTGGGACTGGGGGCGGAACTGTGAGAAAGCCGGGGGTGAAGCAGGGCAGAGCTGGTGGATTGCAGTGGAGGCGCAGGGCTCAGCTGCACATAGCCGGGGAGGGTGCATGGCGAAGCTGCAGGAAAGCTGGTGAGGAGCAGGGCTTAACGGGGGAAATTGCAGAGGAGGAGCTGAGCGAGGGTGGAGCCACCGGGAGAGTGGGGCGGAGCTGGCAGGGAGGTAGCTTTGGGCACTGGGAACCCTGTAGCAACTGGGCTAGGCCCACTCTTCCATGACATCTGCACTCAGTCTGAGCTGCACTCGTAGGCATGGGTTAAAGTGGCAGCCCAGGGTCCTCAGTGCCCTAGGCGGACCCTCAGAATGGACCCTCGGGGACACCGAGGCCAAGAGAGGGCAGCACAACTGGACTGAGTCCTGCATCTCAGAGCCGAATGCCGAGGCCAGTTTTGCTTCCTGCGAGCTCCTCCACCACCCCATCCCTCACATCCCCACCCCACCCCCCTGGTAGTACCAGTAGGGTCTTGAGGGAAGGTCTTCATAGTGCAGTTTTTGTTGCAGGTGGGAAGAAAAATCCTCACTCTGTTTATTGCCGCGCCTCAGAGCTGTCATGTCCCAAACAAAGGCAGCTTCCCTGTCAGCTGTTTCCTCTCTTCTACCTCTCAGTTAGGGGCTCAAGCCTCTCAGTGCCGCCACACTTGCCTCCTCGTGTCCACTTACCCTCGCCCTTCCTCTCTTTTACTTGATGACGGAGTCCTGTGTCCGTGCCTCTAAAATACCTGATCAGAATAATGCTCCTGCCCCTGGCTGGCGTAGCTCAGCGGATTGAGCGCGGGCTGGGAACCAAAGTGTCCCAGGTTCGATTCCCGGCCAGGGTACATTCCTGGGTTGCAGACCAGAACCCCCAGCAACCACACATTGATGTTTCTCTCTCTCTCTCTCTCTCTCTCTCTCTCTCTCTCTCTCTCTCCCTCCCTTCCCTCTCTAAAAAATAAATAAATAAAATCTTTTAAAAAAAAAGAATAATGCTCCTTTTCTTATCCCCACTGCTACTCCCTGAGGCCAGGCTTCATGGTCTGGGGCCAGTGCTATTGCCTGAGCTGCCCCACTGGCCTGGACATCCCTGTATTTCCTCTTCGAGTGGGTCTTCCATCATGCCATCCAACTGCACATATGTCCTCATCAACCCCCAACTGAAAACCCCACCCAGTCCTCTCTTGTTTAAGCCCAAACACATGGGGGCCATGGGAGAGCATTCCAGTGGTCCCAGCTCTCCCTCATCACCCAAGAGTCTGGGTCACTGCTGCGGAGTCCCTGCACCCTGAGTGCCTTCTACCAGGACTCCCCCTTTGGCTCCTGTGTTTCCTGAGGCCTGGAGTGCCTGCCTCCTCTTGTTCCCACAAACTCCTGTCCTTCG